AGACTTTAATGGTGACTGAGTCTGCACAGAGATAGACTGCTTACTTTGTCAATCTGTATGCTTTGAAGGTAATGGTAACTTAATTTGGGGGCATTGACATAAGTTGACCTGTACTGCAGAGTCAACCATCTTAACAGACTTTGTAACTGCAGCTGAATACGACAGTTGTTTTGGTCCTTGTGATTCAACAAGCTTTCGTGCATCTTGAAAGGAAATATTTTGCGTATACTTCTGATGTAGAATTTCATTTTCCTTTAACCACAAGGGGCATGACCGGGAAGTGGCGTAATGCTCTTCTCCACAGTTGGCACATTTAACAGGGACGTTACAAGTCTCATTTTTGTCATGGTTTGAACTGCATCTGCGGCAAATAGTCTGCCTTGCACAATTTGATTCATGATGACCAAATTTGAAGCATTTGTAACATTGCATTAGGTTTGGAATGTAAACCACAACGCGAACTTTAAGGTAACCTACTCGATGATGGAAGAATGGGTGTAGAGTAACTATAAGGCTATTCGTTGGCACTTTATTACCATTTCTTGTAGAATAAATGCGCTTGATATTTGAAACCTGCTGCAATTTTAACTCTTCAGCAATATCATTTTCTGCCATTCCAGCAAGGTCAGCACATTTGATAACGCCCTTGTTGGAGTTCAGAGATTGGTGAGGCGTGGCAGTTGAATCGATATTGAAGAAAGTTGTGCATTTCAAAATATTTTCTGCTTGTTGCTTTCGCTCTACCTCTATTAAGAGTCCACAATTGCGGAGTTTCTTGACAGATTTAGGCGTACCAATTAAAGCTGAAAGTTGTTTTTCTATAATGAAAGGGCTAAGTTCAGTTATTGATTTTGAGCTATTTGATTTAATTATCAGAAAACGGGGAAAACTTCCATCAACTGAATCGTTACAAATTGAATCTTCTTGGGATTTTCGTTTTTTGGTTTAGTAATCCATGATAAATATATGAAAAATTCGTCTCCCGGGTTCCCCAGCCACCTCGGACTCCAACATGGGGATGTGCGATGGAGACGGATATCCAGTATCCGCACAACAAGGCTACCAGAGAGATATACTCGTATAGATTGTAAATAATTACAATTTACACAATAATCCCATTAGCCACCGCCTTCTTGGATATGTTATACTGTATTTATAATGCAAATGTGAAAGATTGTTGTAATATAACGGCACCCTTAATTACAGTTTTAGTAGGAATTGAAAGGTATACTAGAATCACAAGTAGGAATCAAAATATGTGCTTTGAATCGTATTCATTTCGGGACCGTGTAAGTTCAATGAAATCTGCAATTGATTTAGAAATATATATCCACCAGCCGATTGACCAAAAAGCCAGGCTCACTTGGCCACCCGTCTACCCTAAATCAGAGGCTGTTGTGAAGTATACAAATCTGGAAACAAAGTGGTGTAGCTATTTATGTCCGTGATTCTTTACACGCTATTGAAAGGAAAGATCTGCAAGTGCAAGGTGTAGAAGCACTCTGGACTGAAATACATATATGTCAACGTAAATTAATTGTTGGGGGTATATATCGACCTCCGAATTCAAATAATACACAATGGTTAAAAATGGAATGCTTGCTTGATCAGGCACTTAATCAACACGTTGATAATATCTTAGTAGCTGGTGACTTTAATATTAACGTACTTGCCAACCCTTCAAACAAAATGACAAGACTTATACATTCTTTAAATTGCGAACAACTAATAAACTCTCCTACGCATTACACAGAAAGTTCTAATTCACTTATTGATCTTATGTCCATTAAAAAATCTCATCATGTTCTCACGTCTTTTGTTGCTGACCCATTTCTCTCTGACCTAGTAAGGTTTCACTGTCCAATAGTGTCAGTACTTAATTTTACCAAACCACAACAAAACTGTTTTCGTCGTAAAATTTGGATCTACGATAAAGGTGAGTATCAAAAATATAACGAAAAACTTAGTTCAATTGATTGGTCATTCATTGACAACGATCAAGACCCAGATAATATTGCAGATTGTATAGCCCAAAACATTCTTAACTCAGCATCTGAAAGCATCCCAAACAGAATAGTAACTATCCGGCCAAATGACGTACCTTGGATAAATAATGATGTCAAAAAACAAATAAGAAAACGTAGGAAACTTCATCAAAGAGCTAAATTACTTAATAATGAAAATGCCTGGGCTAACTTTCGAAAAATTAGGAATGAAACCACAATATCATGGTAAAGAAACTTCTTTTACTATTTCATGATATACTAAAAACAAAATATGTTAAATTATATTGGATTCCAAGTCATGTAGGAATACGAGGAAATGAAAAAGTAGATGCTTTAGCTAAACAATCATTAAATTTTCAAAAGATTGACTTATTGTTACCTGCTTGTGATTTTAGACCGGCTATAAATAAACTCGTATCATCTGAATGGAAAGCAAATTGGGACAATGTCGTTTTTAATAAACTTCACGATATAAATCCATCTCTTGATGTGTCACCATCTCTATCTCTGTCAAACCGCCGTGATCAAACAGTTCTTCTTCGATGCCGAATTGGACACACTAAAAGTACCCATTCTTATCTCCTTACAAATGGCAATTCCCCTTTCTGTGTAGGTTGTAATGAAAATTTTACTGTCAAGCATTTTCTTCTTGAATGTTATGATTTTTCACAGGCCCGTAATAGATTTTATTCTGTAAATTCACTCAAAGAACTTTTTAAAACAATTCCATCCAAAAACATAATTGATTATTTGAAAGAGATAAACTTGTATTCTAGGATCTAATTGGTTCATTTCTGTTGTCATTTACAAAGTTTTACATAACATTTTAAGCCTATTATAGCATTCGCCACGATATGGCCAGTTATGTGTTGACGTGCCGTAAAAATCCAAACAAACAAACATTATTTAAAAAAAAAGCTAGAGCTAAGGTATTAAAATCATAAAATTTTTAAAAGCATAAAATATCTTGTAGTAGGTGTCTACTAAAGTTGTTCAAATAAAAGCCCTGGGGTAAAAATTGGCCCCGTCCCATGGCGTCATTTATTTTCCTTTTTTGTACATTGTAAAAACTTAAAAAATCCTCTTTAAGAAAAGACAAGAATAAAGATAAAAAAAGTAGAGGGCACCCAGAAGGCACCAAACCAAAACCTGGAGTGGGCATAAGGGCGGTGAAAGGAGAGGGACATGTAAAACCAAAATAGCTATAGCTTAGATAATAAGCATGAATCATCCTCTAGTGGAATAAGCATGAATCATCCTCTTATGGGTATCTACCAAAATTGTTCAAATTAAAGCCCTTGGGTAATAGTTGGTCCCGCCCCAGGGGCCAAATTGATTTTCCTTATTTGTATATAGTAAAAACTTTAAAAAATCTTCTTTTAAGCTTAGATATGAAGCATGAAACATCTTCTAGTGGGTGTTCAAATAAAAGCCCTGGGGTAAAAATGGGTTTTCCCTTTATGTATATAGTAAACTAAAAAGCAAGAGCTGAGATATTAAGCATGATGTGTGTCTACCAAGTTTGTTCAAAAAATGGCCCTAATGTTAAAATTGGCCCTGTCCCGGGGGTCATTGCTTTTCCTTATATGTGTATAGTGAAAACTTACATAATATTCTTATAAAAAATCCAAAGAGCTAAGCATGAAATATCTTCTAGTGAGTGTCTACCAAGTTTGTTCAATTAAAAGCCCTGGGCTCTGAGGGGGGGGGGGTGTTCATTGTTTTTCCCTATATGTATATGTATTTGTGTTCAAATAAAAGCCCTTGATTTTAAATTGGCCTTGGCCAAAGGGTCTATATACAGGTAAGTGATTTTAGGGTCATCATGACACTCTTGTTTTTAAAAATGGGGACTGATATAATGAATTTTATATTTGTGTGACAATAATCTGAGGTATTTCTTTTCGAAACAGTTGGGTGGCCTTGATAAGGGCCGTTTGATTTTGCTAATGCCATTTACTTGCACTCACTAGGAGTGTGAGTGCCCCTGCATGTCGGGCAGTACTCCATCTTGCCCACTTCTTGCTTTGGCTAAGATTGAGGCGAAACTCCGGCTTATCTAGGTCGGTTGACCAGTCTTCCAAATGATGATTATAACATCATCTCAAACTGTTTAGAGAGACCGGACCTCCCGCTCCGGAGTCAACTTCATTCTCCTCTTCTCTCAATCGACTGTCTTCTATATATCTCCTCCCTCCGTATTTTGTCCATCTCCTGCAGCTTAAGTACCGCCCTGCATTTCCTGCTGTAGAGGGTAGTTGCCTTATCCATTTATCTCTCCAGTGATGACCTGGTGTTGTGTTTAATGCACTTGTTCAGTAAGTAAATGATAAAAAAAATCTGGCCTGTTTATACTTTTTCTACCAGATTGACGTACATGCTATAATTCTAATATCTTAACTGACAATTTTAATAACTCATCAACCGATCAAATTAATATGGTTACTTTTAAAACAATTGTCAGTAATGTTGTGCAGTTGTTTTTACTTTTTCTTTTCTCTTTTTATCAAAAAATAATTATATAAAATACTGTTGTTGTTTTTTTTGTTTTTTTAATACATCAAATATTGTTTATCAACATAAAAAATAGTGTTTAATAAACTTAGGATATTGCACATTTTCGCTATAATATTTTATTTTCATTTACTTATGATTTTTGGCAGCCCTGTTTTTGTCGTTTGATTTATTAGTAGACACACATGTACGTACTTTGATTTTGGTTCTAAATATAAAGGTGTTAATGAGTCGAGACAAAATACCATTATGAGGTTGTGTTAAAAATCTTCCATAATTGTGTTTTATAGTATGAAAAAGACGTATATGAAGGTTAGTGCCAAGTTGTGCAAGCTTTGTATGAGCTTTTTATGAGCGGTGCAAGAAATGGTAGGTAGTTTAGATTAAACCCCGGTCAGTATTTTTTTCAGTACATATCACATAAAACGTTCATACATGTCTATAACAACATACCTGTCCTTTTGCTAATGAAATGCAGCATTACAAAATAAATTTTATTCTTATTTCTTGTGTATATTGACAATTGCCCATCACGGTGTATATCCTGTAACGCAGGCTTGTGAAATTATATAGAAAACTAAAACACAGTAAGTAAATCGTTCCATTTAATATGAAGTATATCAAATAAAAAATATAAGCCAGAAAAAAGTATATTTTAACTCTTATTATTAAATAACTACAGGAAAGAATTTGAATTTCTGTTATAAAATTTTCATCTGTATTTATTTGCACAAAAATTCAATTGATTGTTTATATTTTTGTAATCATTGTAGAATTAATTGTTATATACGAGTAAAATACTGAAATTAAGCAACTAAGGTGTAATAGTATTTTTTTTTCCTGTACAAAAACTCGTTTGATTGTTTATTATTTTTTTGAAAATTTTGTCGAAATAAATTTTTTATAGTATAATACTGTAAGGAAGCATTCATTGTATATGTGGTCATCAGTGCTTTGTCCACAAAATCAGCGTTACCTTAATGATTAAATACGTATATAAAACATTTTCAGTTCATATAAACATGTAGACAATACACTTATTCAAGTTCAATTCAATATCTATAGAAAAAATCTCCGTCCGTCTGTCCTTTCGACCAACATTTTTGTCCGAAGCTTATCTCAAAAAGTCTTTGACATGTCAACATCAAACTTCGTAGGTGGATAGATCTTATTGAGGAGGAGTGCAGCACACAAGAATGATAACCTACCCCGCATTGTTTTCAGTTATTGGCCTTTGTTATTTTCAGCCATCAGTATTCACATAGGTTTCAAATCTGTAATCACTTAAGTCATCAGTTTTCATTACAAAAAACCTCTTTTAATTGAATTATTCTGCACATTCTTCCAATGAGCAAACACATTTGCGGGGGATGGGCATGCTAAAATGGCTCGTGTGTATATTAAAAAAACCCACCAAAACCAAAGATTTAGTTTATAGTTTTAAATAAATGCTTTATGTAAGCCACTCACTTTACAGTTTCTGTAACTTTATCTATGACTTCCAGTAGTTCTCGTACTTATCACGTTCCGATAAAAGCTTTTGTCTAAGGTAAAGTATTTTGGCTTGAAAAGACCCACATTTATTACATTTTAATTGAGTTAATGAATAATATGGAATATTACCAAAGCCTAGTTCACACAGATCGTACCCAAGGCATCTTATTACTTTCGGTTCTTCAGTGATACTTGACAGAAGTATACCACATCCGAATTTTTCTAGGTGAAGAAATAAAGGTTTTACACTCAAACATGGATTATGAAACGAAAACGAATGTACATACGTCTTGCCATTATTTTGATAGATCTGTGAGCAGTTGTTTGGCGAAGTGACAAACACAAAAAAGTTATTTTCCCCGGGATGGAACATTCCATTTAGGGTTTCCACAGCGTGTTGTTTTAATACTTCATATTGTTCGTTGTCGAAGTTTTTCTTCAATTCTGTTATCTCATTCTTGCGTACAACAGGTTGGTATAAATAACCTCAAAGCATCAACCATGGATTTGATACCGAAATATTCGGCACATTCATATACCTCTAAAACTTTATCCTTTGGAGGATGAGAACCAGTCCGTAAATAGTTGAGAACATGCACGAATATATCTCCGTCAAAGTCGATGACGAAACGACATTGTTTATCACGTGGAATCATTTCTAGATTTTCAAACATCTTAGACAACCTCGTTGGAGATTCTTTCATCAAGGTAAAATAATGTGTCGTGAGCAGCTTTCCACCAACATTTAATTCTATAACCTGTAAAAATGAATTTAAGGATGCATTTATAATACACGACGTTCAAAACGAAGACGATAGTCACTTGCAAAACATACAAAGATCTACCCAAATCTATTCAGTACTTAGTCTAGCTAACTAGGTAAAAATAGTTATGTTAATAATGTCTTCATATAATTGAAATTTTGTTAATAAGTGAAATATATTTTTCTTTCATGGTTTCATAATTTATTTATTGAAATGTTAAAAAATCGATACATATTTATATACATGTATATATAATCAATAATGAATTATTCTGATACAAAATAGGTTTCAACTGCTAATAAATAACGATAAGTATTTAATGAATTCGTACCTGTTCTTGATCCATTTCCACAAATTTAATATGAATAAATCACTAAAAATGGATTAAAATAATAAAACTTCTTTTTCATCAACAGCTTTATTAATTCGTAAGTAATACGTTCATATTTTTTTTTAATTTTCCCCTTACGAAATTTTCCAACTTAAATAATATAAAATATGTACACGCATTGTGTGCAAACATTTTAACCAAACACAAAATCAATATGTTAACAAAAGTTTAACGATACGTTAAAAATAGTGTTTGTTCGTAATTAAAGCGGTAATTTGAACCTTGTTTACTAATACCAATGTACCGAATTGGTATGGTCGCTGATTTCAGCCATTTCTTATGTCGTGACTACGCGAAATAGCGAAAGACTGAGGAAAATATATAGATAGATATATATTAATATATATCCAAAATGTAGTTTCAAACAGTACGGAAAAAATACCAGGAAAAAAAAGAATGAAGCGATGCTTTTTAGATCGACTCTTTTTTGGGGGGGGGAAATAGAGGTATTGTTATACCCTGGCGGCGTTGCCGTTGCCGTTCGCAAACTTGTACCGTGATCATAACATTTTAAGTTCTTTTATACTTTTATATAGATTTCAAAATCATTTTCAACTTCTATTTATCAGTTCATTGGTAAACAAACTGACATATTTTTCATCTTGTATATTCTTTGAGGCAGGGATGTACAGGGGAATACTAGCACATGGTAAAAGTAAAAAAAAAATAAACAACGTAAACAGGGGCATTACAATTAAAGGCCCATTATACATGTACTTCAGAAATATATTTATTTTTATTTCTCAAAAAATTTTATTTGGCCTGAAACTTTAGTTGGGCCAATTACCGGAACCATCATATTCTTCTGTTTCATTTTGGCAATTAATACAGTGAAAATTGTTATAGTAATTTTGTATGGAAGTCAAAATACTACTTTGTTTACATTTTGGTATGTTAATAACTCATTATTTCACATGTAGCGCTACTCTCTTCAGGTATTAAGTATCTAACATGCTCTTAAACAATTATTTAAACGTTATAAAGGTTATGTTTTCCCTGTTTAACGAAGAAGAAAAATATTCCTTTCTGAGGCATAATGTGCCTTTAATTACAATCAGTATTTAAAAAGTTATCATTATAGTAGACATTCATCTTGTTAACATTTATTCAAATTTATTATCGTGAAGATTGTCAATTGCCGAATAATTAATCACACCTCATGTACTACTGCGTAAAGTGATATTGATCATGCAAAAAAAGATATAGTTAATTTTCAATTGGATGAGTATATTAAAGTTTGTGTAAAAGCGCACCTGTTGTTTCGCAAAGTGCAACTTTTCGGACAAGGTATATCGACGATGTGATCCAAAAGTTGCTTTACGCACATAGCACTAGCATATTTTTTTTTCGTGGTAAATCGTATCAATCTTTGAAGACTACTTTTGCAGTGCGTGAAAACGATCTAAACCATTCATTCTTTGCAGGCCGTTTCGGAAGATGCACCACGTCGGTCAGTGTAAATAGCCCTCAGCAATCCAACTACCGATAATCCATTAATAGTAAGTTATACTTTTAAGATCAAAGTTGAAATTCCTGCAAACGTTATGCATGAATAAAATACGATTTTTATTCATTATTTATAACTATATTTGTCTATCAAGTGTATAAAACAATATATTTGCTGAAATATTAGTGAAAGAATATTTCAACAATAAAAAAACTGTATGAAGGAAATATGCCTGTTTTTTTTTGCTTTAAAGGCAATTTGGCCCCATGCAGAAAACCCTTTAAAGAGGGTTTAAGACTAGCAGAGACTTTCCCCATTTTAAACAGATTTTCAAAACCTCACCTTTTAAATCATGAGAATAACAAAAATTTTTAAATTTTTTTTAACGGGAAATTAAAATATGAAAAGAAAACTTAGAATTCCTTTTTAAAAAAACCCTTTTTCAAACATATCCGCTTAAAAATACAAAAATTTTATGAATTCGGGTTAAAAAACCTGCCCCTACCTATAGCCCTTTTAAAAACAAAAAAACCCGGGAAAATTTAAAAAATGTAGTAAATTTGTGAATTTAGAGTTTTCTTTAATAAAAATTTTCAGGGGAAAAAGAAAAACATAAGAAATGGGGAAAAAGAAACCAAATTTAAAAAAAAATTTAATTTATATTAATATACTGTCTTTTCGTATGTCAGAATATATATTTAACAAAGAAAACATAGCCTTATGGGCAATATGCAAGTTTACGGACTAGTTGGTCAGACTGTGGAAAGTATATGTTCTATCAAACAAACTATAAAAAATACAGTTACAAATTAAAATTAGTCAAAATAGGACAGTTCGAGAAATGGTGTAATGTAGATAGAAACATATAAGACAGAGTTCATAGTTCATTTTGTAGTAAAGTAAATGTAATATGATGCAAAAACAAGTTACACAATAAATGAATTTGTCATTTCTCTCCTAAAAGTTGAAATCAATGAAAAGTTCTAAACATGTTAATTCTAATTTAACATATGAAGGATTTACAGCTTAACTTAAAGCAATAAAAATGAGATTCTAAAGAAATATAACTCAAGTTATTAGTTTCTTTCTGCAATGTTGTAATCTTCTTGTCCGAAGAAATACTCCACAGATTATCAAGAATATGACACATAACGTGACGAGAAACCGATATGTTCGGAAATGTTTCGTTATTTTAAAAGAATTTAAAGTTATTTGTTTCATTTAACGTTAACCTGCATGTAACAGAAACACGTTTCCCCTTAGACCGTGTATTTAGTTGTTCTTGGGCAGCTGTCATTCGTAAGACGGATTTTTGATTTTGTGATCAGTTTTGTGGATAAAGTGTTTTGTTTTCTCTCATTAAACATTACAACTACATGCTCTTTGTCAGAAAATGTGAATTCTTTAGCGTTCTTACATATTAAGGACAGAATTTTGTTTGTGATTTGATATGAAATGTAAAGTATCAATACGATAAATGTATTAGTTTTTCACTGAAATTTTGTCTTTAGATTTATTAGTATTAGAAAGATAAAAGGGACATACATGAATTACATTGTATGTACTAAATACTGGATGTACCTTAAATATTTATATAATAAAAGAGTTCACGAGTCCGAGATAATTAATGAATCTAACGATTTTCATACCATTATGAGGTGTGATTGTAATCGTCCATAATTGTGTTCTATAGTACATTGTTCCTAACAAAAGACGTATATGAAGGTTACTGTTCAAGTTTTGCAAGCTTTTTTTATAAGCGTCACTCAAACAAGAAACAATTCAGTGCATTCAGCCAAAAAAAAAAAAAAAAACATTTATACAATAACATATTAAGTGTATTTTATTTCATGAAATATTAATTTTCGACAGCAGCGTTACAAAGTGTAAGCCTTATTGCTTGTGTTTGTTATTGAATATTGCATATCACGGTGTATAATGCAGGATAGCGCCGAATTGTGCAAAAAATGGAAAAAGTACAATACAATAAGTAAATTGATGTATATAATATATGTGCAATCAAATTTAAAAATATGCCTGGGAAAAACACATTTTATTTTAAATCTCATTATATATAATTGCAGGAAAGAATTTCCATTTCTATCATAAAATTTTCATCGATATTTATTTTGTAAAAAACTCATTTTTTATAATTTTTAAAAACTTGTCGAATTAATTATATATTACTAAACGGAGCAGCTAAAATGTAATTTTACACGAGGTTTCCGTGTCAAAGTGCTTCGAGTAATCCTAAGAACGTGCCTTGGTTAAATACGTATATAAGCCGTTTTCAGTTCACATATAACACATTTTTCAATTCATATATATGTACACATACCCATATCAAAGTCAAATATACTCTTTTGCAATGAAAAAATAATCTACCTATTCATGACCAGTTCTTAATACTGTAATCCTAGAAATGTTCGCGGATACAATATTTCGCGTTTTTCACAACGTCGGCATTTTCGCAGATACAAACTTTCGCGGATTTGTAGTAGCCGCGAATTCCGCGAATATTAAGTCGCTACGGCCTACAGAGGCTACGTTTTTGATACATGTACCTCGCCTGTTGGGAACTTTTAATTCTGCCTTTATTTTTTTTGTGACAATAACTTTTCATCTATTGACTAGTCGAACACAGAGAGGTTTTCCGTTTACACTTTTATCTTATTTCCTAAACTTTTCACCATGTGATTAAGTAAGATATAGTCAGACCCGTTAGCTTTTATTCTCATTTGAATCATAACTGTCTTCATCTTCAAAATGTCGATAAGTTTTTTTTACACAGTATGGGACTGACTTTGGGGTTTTTTAAAACTGTAACAGTGTTAAAATGTACACTTTGGAATAATGGGGAATTTCCCAAACCCTATTTTCAACAATGCCAAGGGATCGCATAATTTCCGGTTCGTCAGCGATATTTGACATATAGAAATAAAAATGATAGTCATAAAAGGGTAGACCTAAAGAATGTACAATCCATTGCACAGATTTACGCGATAACGAATGCTGCACAAACTTCTTGCCATCTCTTTCAGTGATCATTCCGCATTTATTTGTCCAAGAGGTGACATACATAAAGAACTTATCTTCCTCAGGATGGAACTTTTTATTTAGTTCTGCTACTGCGTGTTGTTTTAATATTTCATATTTTTCTTTGTCAAAGGTTTTTTTCAATTCTGTTATCTCATTCTTGCGTACAACAGGTTGGTAAAACCTCAAAGCATCAACCATGGATTTGATACCGAAATATTCGGCACATTCATATACCTCTAAAACTTTATCCTTTGGCGGATGAGAACCAGTCCGTAGATAGTTGAGAACATGTACGAAAATACCTCCGTCAAAGTCGATGACGATACGACATTGTGTATCACGTGGAATCATTTCTGGATTTTCAAACATCCTAGACAACCTCGTTGGACATTCTTTCATCAAGGTAGAATATTGTGTTGTGAGCAGCTTTCCTCCGACATTCAATTCTATTACCTGTTAAATAAAAAAAACATTTAAGGATGCACAATGCCGAAGTTCGAAACGAAAACGTCTCTTGCAAAACTTAAAAAAAGTTTACCCGAATATCTCCAATACTAGCTTACTACGTTAAAGTAGTCATGTCTTCATATAATTTACATTTTGTTAATAAGTGGATTATATTTTTTGTTCTTTCATAGTGTCATAATTAACGTATTGAAATGTTGTTTATAGTCAATAAATAATTATGTGAAGGATCAATTAATTATTCTGCTTTAAAATATGTTTGAGCTAATCACGAATAAAAGTAAATATTTGATTAAATCGTACCTGGTTTTGATCCATTTCCACAAATTTAAGATGAATAGAACATAAGAAATGGATTAAAATTATAAAACTACTCTTTCATCGACAGCGTTATTTGCTCGTAAGCTGCACGTTCATAATTGTTTAAATTTACCCCTTAAGAAATTTTCAAACTTAAATAATACAAGCAAATTCGTTGAATTTATATCCCCCGCCGAGTACTGGTTATTATTAACACAACAACTGAAGACATAAGGCTTTATTTATATATTAATAATGGCATAAACTAATATTCTTTGAACTTGAAGCCTTGTACCTTCAAACAAGAAGAATTTTTAAGTTTTCACTATATACATATAAGGAAAATCTATTACCTCCTGGAGTGGGGCATATTTTGACCCCAGGGCTAAAATTTGAACAATTTTGGTAGAGGACCTATAGGTAATATCATATACCAAATATCAAAGCTCTAGGCCTTGTACTTTCAGACAAGATTTTTTAATTTTGCATTTTTGAAACTCCTTTTCTGGCCCTGTGACCTACTTATGCAATAGACCGGAACCATTTGGTCAACTTTGGCAGGGGACCACCCCAGGATCATTCCTGTAAAGTTTGGTTGCTGTGTGCAGTCATTTGTTTCTGAGGAGATGTTGTTTAAAGAAATTGCTGACGACGCACGACGACGGACGGTAGGGGATCACAATAGCTCACCTAGATGTAAAAACATCTTAATCTCCAGACTTCATTGCCATTTTCAAGGCATCAAGGGATCTCACATTTTCAAATATTTTTAAATGTTATTGTAACAAATTTTAATTCTTCTTTAATAAAAACTAGAAATGTGTCCATAGGACACGGGTTGCCACCACCGCGCCACTGTTTCTGTCAATCTTATGACTCTAGGTCAAATATTTTTTGAAAACTAAAAATCTTTTTACTAAGTAAAGGGCAAGAACTTTACAAATACTAAATAAATCCCCAAGCAAACCCAAGTTGAAAATTGCAAATTTATACTACTGTAATTCAAGGGCAATAACTCTAACAAAACTGAAAAAAATCCACATGCAAAAGTCCCAGGTTCATAGCTTCACAGTGAGGTGAATCATTATTCCTGTAATTTAGTGATGTTGATCATTATTCCTGTTAAGTTGGTCGATTCTAACTCAAGCACTCAAGGATCAAATAACAACCATAATGAAACAGTTTTTACTAAGTCAAGGGAAATAACTCTTCAATACTGGATAAAGCCACAAGCGAAACCCCAGGAACAAACTAAATATGCTGAGCAACTTTCCAATAAGGTTTAATGACTCTATGTCAAATCCTTTTTGAGTTACAATTGTGACACATGTTGAAAATTGCAAACATTTTCTAAGTCAAGGGCAATAACTCTAAAAATACTAAATAAATCCAGACGAAAATACCAAGGTGCACAACTACACATGCTGATCAACATTCCTGTAAAGTATCCTGACTCTAGGTCAAATACTTTTTGAGTTACATGCGACACAAGTTGAAAATTGCAAAATTTTACTAAGTCAAGGGCAATAACTCTAAAAATACTAAAAATATCCAGACGAAAATACCCAGGTGCACAACTACACATACTGATCAACATTCCTGTAAAGTTTCATGACTCTAGGTCAAATACTTTTTGAGTTACATGCGACTCAAGTTGAAAATGACAAAATTTTACTAAGTCAAGGGCAATAACTCTAAAAATACTAAAAATATCCAGACGAAAATACCCAGGTGCACAACTACACATACTGATCAACATTCCTGTAAAGTTTCATGACTCTAGGTCAAATACTTTTTTGAGTTACATGCGACACAAGTTGAAAATGACAAAATTTTACTAAGTCAAGGGCAATAACTCTAAAAAATACTAAAAATATCCAGACGAAAATACCCAGGTGCACAACTTCACATACTGATCAACATTCCTGTAAAGTTTCATGACTCTAGGTCAAATACTTTTTGAGTTACATGCGACACAAGTTGAAAATTACAAAATTTTACTAAGTCAAGGGCAATAACTCTAAAAATACTAAAAAATATCCAGACGAAATACCCAGGTGCACAACTTCACATGCTGATCAACATTCCCATAAAGTTTCGTTGAATTCCAGCCATTAGTTGCAGAGAACTACTCCGGAAACGAAATTCTAAGTCAAGGGCAATAACTCTAAAATACTAAAAATATCCAGACGAAAATACCCAGGTGCACAACTTCACATGCTGATCAACATTCCCATAAAGTTTCGTTGAATTCCAGCCATTAGTTGCAGAGAACTACTCCGGAAACGAAATTCGGACGGACGGATGGACGGACGGACGGACGGAAGGACGGACGGACAACGCCAAAACTATATCCCCCTCCCGATTCCATCGGCGGGGGATAATAAAATATGTACATGCATGGTGTGCAAACATTTTAACCAAACACAAAATCAATATGTTATCAAAGAACCTCCAAATCAGTTTAATGATACGTTAAATATAGTGTGTGTGCGAAATAAAAACGGTAAGTTTAACCTTGTTTACAAATACCAATGTACCGAATTGGTATGGTGGCTGATTTCAGCCATTTCGTTTTTGTCGTGGTTAAAGGAGCAACTACGCGAAAGAGCGACAGAATGAGGAAAAATAAGATAGATTTATATTTATCCAAAATGTAGTGTCAAGCAGTACGGAAAAAGTACCAGGAAAAGACAGAAAACGAAGCGATACTTTTTAGCTCGACTTTTTTTTGAATAAGTAGAGGATTTATTATTGTCTTGCCGTCTGCAAACTTGTACATTGATTTTAACATTTGAAGTTCTTTTTTATTTTTATATAGATTTCAAAATCATTTTGAACTTCTATTTATCAGTTCATTCAATTTGGTAAACAAGCTGACAGATTTTTTTCACCGTGTATATTCGTTGAGGTAGAAATGTGCAGGGGAATACTAGCACATGATAAGAGTAAAAAAAAATAAACACCGTACGCAGAGGCATTACATTTTAATACAACCAGTATTTGAAAAGTTATCATTATAGTAGACAGTCTATCACGTATCACGACATAGCTATCGCGTGGCCACGACTTAGTAACTCGTGGCCACGACATAGTATTTCGTGGCCACGACTTAGTTCTCTCGTGGCCACGACTTAGTAGCTCGTGACCATTATATAGTATATCGTGGCCACCACTTAGCTATCTCGTGGCCACGACTTAGTAGCTAGTGACCACGACATAGTATCTCCTGGCCACGACTTCATAACTCGTGGCCACGACATAGTATCTCATGGCCACAACATAGCTATCTCGTGGCCATGACATAGTATCTCGTGGCCACGACTTAGCTATCTCGTGGCCACGACACAGTATCTCTTGGCCACGAGATAAATAAAAATTCACACACCTTTGTGCCACCGTAGTAAAGTGATATTTATTATGCAAAAAATATCGTTAACGTTCATTTTCGATTGGATGAGTATATTAAAGTTTGCGGAAAAGTGCACCTGTTGCTTTCCGGACAAGGTATATTGACGATGTGATCCAAAAGTTTCTTTACGCACATAGTACTAGCAACGCACATAATACTAGCATAACAAAATTTCATGGTAAATCGTAACAATCTTTAAAGACTACTTTTGCAGTGCGTGAAAACGATCTAAACGATTCGGTCTTTACGGGCCGCTTCGGAAGTGTAAGTAGCTCTAAGCAATCTAACTACCAACATTCCATTTAATGTTAGTTATATTTTTAAAATAAATTTCTGATAAAGGTATGCATGAGTTAACATTTATATCTAGTTTGTTAATATAGATATATACAGAAGCTTTATTCGTGTTGATATATATGACGTTTATTAGGTTGCAAACAATAAATAAGGGTATTAAAACATGTTTGCTTGTCTTTAAATTGTATAAAACTATATATCTGGTGACAAATTAGTGTTTGGATGAATTTGAAAAGAATATTTCAACAATAAACAACCTATAAGGAAATATGCCTGTTTATTGCTTGAAGAGCAAATGGCGCATGCAATAAATCTTTGAAAGACGGTTAAAACTAGCAGAGACATTCTATGTTACAGATGTTTGAAGACTCGATCGTTTAATCATGAAAATAACACAATTGTATTGTTAATTTAAATCATTTGAAAAAGAGATTTTATACGTCCGAAAGAATTTCGCCGTATGTTGTTATGCATGTTCGTATGTTAACATATTTCTTGTCCGGTCTGTATTTTAAGAACCGGAGGGAAACTGAAACTACTTAGCAGAAATGTTAACCATAATGAGACGATGTGCACAGCGAAGGTTTGACCTTTCTGATGTCAACGTCACACAGTCATTTTGATTCAATATCAAAATTGAGTGTCTGTTCTGTATCTTTTGAACCGATAGAAAGAAATTATCTTTTTTATATTGAGACGGTGTGCAGAACGCAAGTTAGTTCGGACTTCCTAAGATCAAAGTTGGTCTCCCCCCGGGGAATCATTGATTTATATAAACTTGTATAGGAGTTTTCGTGTCAGGTCTTAATTTTTGAACCGTTGGATGGAAATGGAAACTACTTAGTTAACCTTAATGAGTCAATGAGCATAGCGCAGGTTTGACCTGTCATACGTCAAGGTCACACTTAATCATTTTGTATCAATATCAAAATTGTGTGTCCGCTCTGTATCGTTTGAACCGATGGAAAGAAAAGCAAACTATTTGGCAGAAATACTACTTAAAAAAGACGGTGTACAGAACACAAGTTTGTACTTCCTAAGATCAAAATTGGCCCCACCCCGGGGATTAATTGATTTATATAGACGTGTATAGCAATTTTCATGTCCAGTCCGTATCGTTTGAACCGATGGAAAGAAAATAAAAATACTACGCAGATATGTTAACCACAATGAAAATATAATGCAAAGCGCACTTAGTAATTTTTTGTATCAATTTCAAAATTTGTGTCCGCTCTGTTTCTTTTAAACCGATTGTAGGAAATTAAATCTGTTTGGCAGAAATATTCATATTACTGAGATAAGCAGAACGCAGTTTTGGACTCCCTCAGGTCAAGGTCACACTGACTCATTCCGAACCCTTATATAAGTGTGCATATTACAACAGGAGATTACAATGTATGCATTTATTAATATGTTTCCTTCCAATATACATGTATATGTATTTACCTCCCTTTTTTCTAAATTTTTACTTAATAATCTTTTTTTAATCACACTTCATATTTTTGTATTTTTTCTTGTTAAGATTAGAATAATTGAGGAGCTATTATATGTTTATATGATTAAATTATTTTGAAATAAGACAATCTTATTAATTGAAACTGGTGTTACTTTAGATATGTAAATTTAGTAAATAACAATAAGTTTTGTGCTTTTGAATTTCTGATAGGCCTATAGTATTATTTATATGTTTCCTTGATTTTTTATCATTTAAAAAACAACAATGTTAAAAAAAACATTATTGTTGTTTTCAGTCAGTACACATACTCCGTGACAATTGCATTAAGATAAATAATCAATTTTCATAAATCTGTGCTTCAAACTTAGCTCTTTTAAGGACACAACTTGTGACATGGTTAAGGTCTGTGCTCCACAGCAAAAGTTGTGCCATATATAATTGTCACTGAGTATTCATGTGCCTAGAGCATAACTCTTTGGCATAAT